TTTTTAATCGTGATTTGAACAGTGCAATGGAATCAGATGCGCGGAGGTCGAGAGGAAGGGTGTTCCACAGTACCGGGGCAGCCAGAGCAAACGCACGGTCACCCCGAGACTTCAGTCGAGATCTGGGTTGGGTCAGAAGTAGTTGAGTGGCAGATCTGAGTGTTCTAGCAGGAGTATGTGGTTTGAGAAGTTCACTAAGATAACTTGGCGCTAATTTATTAATAGTTTTGAAAGTAAGAAGTAATATTTTAAATTGAATACGGTACTTTATGGGCAGCCAATGCAGGCTAGCTAGGACAGGGGTAATATGGCAAAATTTCCTGGTACCAGTTAAAAGGCAGGCTGCTGCATACTGTTTGCAGTCTAAGAAGAAGAGAAGAGGGAAGACCATAGTACAAGGAGTTACAATAATCCAACCTGGAGGTCACAAAAGCGTGAATAAGCTTCTCCAGGTCCTCATGCAGAACATAATGCTTAGCCTTAGAGATAAGGCGCAGTTGGTGGAAGCTAGATCTCACTACAGCAGACACTTGCTTATCGAGTCTAATATGGTAAGGTGAAAAGAAGAGATTTAATTAACTTAGTGAGGCTGAAAAAAGACTTGTTTAGCAAAATAAGTTTTGACAGTGAGGCTACAGAAAAGTGGCTACAGCAAAATAATCCAATAAAGTTAATCCAATAAATCCAAAACAAAAGAAAGAACCAAAATCTCCAGGGTGAGAGGCATGAGGGGAGATGGAAGAATGATGAAAAATAGCAGGAAAGCAAACAGGTTTGAGAAGGCCACGCAGTTACTTAACAAAACAATGTACCACACATTCATTTGGTCATAGTGTGTTATCCGTCTATCCAGAGCTGTCCTGACGAGGAATGGCCAGACTCTTGCTCCTGTCATGATCTTGTAGTGAATTATGCGAGTTTTGATTGTGGAAAAAAATATAAGTTATGAAGGCCACTCTTATTTTCACTGTCATATTGTGCTGCCAATGACATCGCAGTATTTTGAGGAACTTAATCCCCCATCCTCAGTCCAGGGTATGGTGCCTACTTAGCACTGTCAGACAGTGGTGTTTTGTATATTTTCACTCTATGAATTCATTGCAGTTGCTGCTGTTACAGGTCTTTTACCTCTAATTTAACAGTGATATAAAATGATTTCATTAAAAGAAAATTAATATTCTGCCATAAAACAGGTGTCAGATTCCAAAAATAATTCTTTCCATTGACAGTAGATATATTTCAGTGGTTATTCATAGCCACCATCCACCGCTAATGTTTTAATTTGCTTTTAATGTGTTGTTGTGTTCTACGGGGACTACACTGTTAAAATTCTATGCTAAAACACTGTGCATGTATCAGTTAGGTGCTTGACAAGGCTAACTGATACAGCTTGAAATAAAATATTAAATGCACTTTTGCTCCACCCAGCTTTGGCCCAGAGAAGACATTGGTGTTTCTGGATCACATATGGCTTATTCTTTCCATGATAGGGCTTTAATCTGGATTTGTGGATGGCATAGTGAGCTGTGTTCACAGACAATAATTTCTGGAAGTGTGCCTGAGCCAATGTAGTTATTTCCATGAAAGAATCAATGCCGGTTTTAATGCTAACTGGGTGTCCAAAGATCGTAGGCATCCTATACTCATTTTAAGTCTTTCCCCTTGCATACGGGATTTCTCCATATCTTTGTATGTTATTATTTGCTATATATTTGTATATGATGATATATTCACAAACTTGCATGTCGAGGAGCATTATTCTGAAAATTTTAGAAGCATTTGCTTGAAAATTGGTGAACTCCTTTACGTTACAATGCACTAACTGTAAAACAAGAATGACTACATGGTATGGTTTCACCTGTTCTCCATGTGTATGTGCCTCCAAGAGATAATTAAAAAAATGTGCAGTAGCACTGAAAACTGACTGGTCATGGTGGAGAAGATGATCTTGAATGGGAGTGCTTTGAATCATTGTTGTGATCTGGCACTGTATAAATAAAAATGAAGTGAAGTGAATTGACATACAACAGTTTGGCTGCTTCAAAATGGTTATATAATAGTATAACAATATACTGTGTTTTATTATAGGTCACATATTACATGTGTATTAATATGAGGGTGTATTGTGTGTATAAAATATGATAAGCCATGAGTTTTTCAAAACTAAACTGAAGGACATTAGTGCTTTAGTTTGTGAATTTTTTTCATGACCATATATTCCCCTTTTCACTTCCTCATCCTCATTGTGTGAATCTGTAGATCCTTAGCTGAATGATATTCTGCTATCACCTTACAACAGAACAGAAACTCACAGTAAAGCATCAAAAGATAAATTATGAACAATACTGCTTTGAAGATAAAACTCTTTTAATGAACTCCATCCCAGATATTTAGAGGCTGTTTCACAAGACTAAGATACTAAACTTACTCAGGTCAGATCTTCTTAAATCAATAGGAGGCACTGGCACTTACTGGGTCCAAATGATAGAAATATGTCACTACTCAAACTTAAACCTACACGTTGTGACTTGACTCTGTCATGTGTGTAAGTGCATATGAATGTATAGGTGAATACTACCCAAGCTCAGGTAGTTGTTTTCCCTAGATGGTTTAAAGATGGATACTGAAGGGCATCATCAAGTAAGTAAGTAGTTAAGTATTTTTAATTAATTAAAGTAATTAGAATTTTAATCCGATAATGTTGTTACATGAATTTCAATCTCGTGCTTTCAGTTTTCAGTAGTTTGACTATTTCATTTTTCTAGGTAAACACATGGGAGTGTGAACAATACAAATGAGACAGAACTAAGAGGGGAAACTGAAAAAGGGGAAATTTCCTTGTGGTGACATTAATTTGTCTCATTTTTCCACCAACTTCTGCAATTTTTCTCTTTCATTTGTCGGGCTTCCAGTAAGTCAGCCAGTAAGTCGCTTTTAATCCACATCAGTTACACTTTTCACCAGCAGATGTCTCTGTTGCGTTACGAAATCTTGACTCTCATCTCACTGGTTGTCTTCAGTGAATGTGCAAACGTCAGCCTACAGTAGGAGGTGAGGCAGCAGTGAATCAGATCATCCAGCACTTCTTTATAGCTGGAATGAGCGTGCACAGCACTTGTAAAGGGTTGGAAAGTTATGTAGGTAGATATCTGGCACTAATACAATGTAATTACTAAATTAATAATTAGATTTAATAATTTCATTTGTGACTCCAGTAATTCCTCCAGTTTCCAGCAAAATCCGGAGTAGGACATTGAATTTTTACTGCACAAGCTTGTCACAGTCAGCTGATCTGTATTAAGGTTAAAATAAAACTAAACTAAAAGATAAACTAAAGAAAGGATATAAAGCAATCAGCTCACCCTAAAGGTAGAAACAAAAGAATACCTCATGACAGATTTTACCTACTTATATGTGAACTCTTTCTGGAAAATTCTCCTTTTTCAGTTTTAAGCACTTCTTGCATTTTAGTTCTTCTTCTTTCTCCTGTAGGGGTCGCCAAAGAGGATCATCTATCTCCATCACACCCCATTTCAACCTATACCTAGCACCCTCTTCCATCACACCAACATCTCTTTATGAGCCACATGCTTGACTGAAATTTTATGCCTGATGGCCTTTCTGATGGAATTAAGGGCTGGGACCGGAGTACACTGGCTTCTACATAGATGCCAGTAACAGAACTAATTGTGCTTTTCTACCAGAAAAGTTTTGGTTTTATAGATCTATTCATGTTTTACAGTTTTATATGGTTTTATTTGAAGATGGTTTTCACTTACTTGTTTTTCCAGGTTGTGTGCTTGACTTTCCTCTTTATTTAAGGAAACACACAGAAGAGTTCACATTGAGGTTCTGTGCTCTTGGAAATGCCCTCTGATGAAACCACCAGTTACATTGCAATTCGATGAAGGCATAAATGTGGCTACATGAGAACTTGGACAAATAAAACCAGTCATGGAAACCACTAAGAATAACTGATCCCAATACTATTTGAGGTGGTATCTATGCTTATTCAGGACTGGATTCGAGTGTTAGAGCAGGCTTTCATGTTCGATTTGTCTTAACCCCTTAGCAGTCCTATTAGTCCCCTAAACCATCCAATGTCCCGTGGGCGGTACGTCCGACTGCTAACAGTTTAAGCTTGTCTTGCATTGCACATAAACTTTTGCCCATATATTTTGTATGTCAATATATTTATTAATTGTTTTTTAAACTTATGAATAAACTTACTTACTAAGAAATCTAATTCAGTTACACATTAGCAAGGATGTAGGCTGTGTTGCTCCTGGTTCTGCATTGGTGGAGTTGTCCCTAAACAAATCCACTACTGTAATTTGTCTGGAGCAGAAATGTCTCAGAACTTGGAAAAAGATCATGCTTGAAGTGTTTCCAGCCTCACCTGCACTCTCTTTAAGATTATCTGAAATTGTCCAGGAACAAGTTTTAAGAACACTGCAAAGAAACAGCTGCAAGAGTCAAAATAAAGACTATAAATCAATTTGTATAATGTTAATTTAAATGTTCCAGTTTAACCCACATACAACCTATATTTACTTATTTAAAAAAGTGTAGGTCTTGTACTCTTCCAGTCAAGCAAATATGGTGTAAATGTAAAACAAGTGTGTGCTCAACATCTACATGGAGGATTTCAAGGCAGAGAGAAAGATAAATGGTTTGAGGGGGCAGAGAAACGATCTTTGGAGTGGAGGTGGAGCGGTTGGCTGAGGATTCATTAAGTTTCCTCACACAGCAGCTGGAGCAGAAAGTGTGTAGGTACCCCATGCTGACTCTCCCTCTCTCTGTATGTAACACAATGTCTCTCTATCGAAGACACGTTCTTATTAAATATCTTCTGGGAATATCTCCTCCCTCAATCATATCTGCATGACTATCGCTCCGGTGGGAAATACACTGACGTGCGCGCGGAGCCACCCACAGAGCGCGTGCACGGATTAATCATATCTGGAAAAGAGAGAGAGAGAGAGAGAGAGAGAGAGAGAGAGAGAGAGAGATGCTGCCGGCTTTAAGTCCGGTGTGACTTATCTATCCTACACTGCTGCTGTCGGTAACGGAGCGGCTGCGCACACACCTACACACACTCCTCTCTCTCGCTCTCTTTACAGTACCACACACACACACACACACACCGGAGCGCAGGAGCGGACTAGCGCACTAGGAAGAAGGGAGAGAAGAGAAACAGAGAGAGGCGACACAAGTCAGACCGGCTCGAGCAGGGGAATGTGCCGGATTCCACTGCGCACACACACGGGCTGTCCCGCACTGAGGGCTCCACTGCGTTAACGGGGACGACACAGGGCTGATACTGAGGCAGCGGGACCAGGACCAGAGAGGGACAAAGTAAAAAAAAAAAAAAGTAGTCACCTGGCTGCGGAGGAAATTAGAGAGGGAGGGGAGTGGAGGAGGGCGGGAGGTGTACCCGCCTCACAGAGCCTTGTTCTGGGGGTAACGCCACTGCTTGCGCGCAACGGAGAGTAAGCGCAAAGTTTCCTCGATGGCGCTGGTGATGGAGCCAGTGAGCAAATGGAGCACAAGCCAGGTGGTGGACTGGATGAAAGGTGGGCAGCAGAAACACACGCACAGACACGCACACACACACACACACACACATAAATACAACGATACAGACACGCGCACGTATTATGCACACGATTCATTTTTAAATTACACAGCTGGAACGCGTTCGCACACGGACCCGCACACACAAATACTGTCTCTGATCACGACTGGACATTCAGGCAGGGGAGATAAGAGGCTGACAAGTTGATTTGTTGTGTGGGAGGTGTGTGTGTGTGTGTGTGTGCCGATGCATCAGCCAGGCACCTGATGATCAGTGGGCAATGATGTAATGTGTGAGAGAGTGACAGCAGGAGAAACAAACTTCCTTGCTTAGAGCAGGGGCGGGTGTAGAAACTTTTGAAAGGGGGAAAGGGGGCAGATCGACTGCTTACCTCCTCAGGCTGCTTCAGGCGAAATCGGGAATACATCAGAATTCATCCTGCTTAGTTTCAAATGGCACACCTGTTAGTTCAACTAATCAACATCTTGTGAGAATCTACTAGCCGTGAAGGTCACAGCTGCAGGCATGTGTAAGGTGTGAGGGTAGACAGGGATAGATGCCAAACTGTGAAACATGGCAAGAATATACTGACTGCTCGCTAGGTGTCGCTCTCCTGTGGTTCATTGATCTGAATGATTCGGAGGTTAGTTAGCCCATAATAGAAGGTGGCAGGCAGATGGCTCAACCAATCTGCCTTTTGTAAACACTTCCCAAGAATTAAGTCACAGAGTGTTTTGCAAACAGACTGTATATAGAGGATGGATGTAGCTCTGGTGCCATCACCCTGTGATAAAGGAGGCCCCACTCTGAAGCTTCAAGCTTTGCCATCTGGGTGTTTGAAGACTGATGGGTGAATCTGTCTGAGAAACACAGGCAAACCGCTCCAGTGGTAGCAACTTGTTAACTTGTCCCACCCTAAAACATACCCTACTATATCCTCCTTTTTGCATCTAATGGGGTCAACAATTTCCAAAATGAATATCAAACTAGCTTTTGAGATTACGAATTCATCAGAAAGTGTTTTCTGAGGAACTGAGGGGTGTTTCTGCTTTGATTCATGGATAATATAAAATACAGCTTAAGCCACTGTAACATCAACCACTGGAACAAAAGACATCAGTACTGGAAGATTCCTCTCTCTTCGCTGTAAAATAAAGAGATACAGGAAATCATTTGCACCTACAACCATCAGGCTTTTCAGTTCTCATGCTAATAATAGATGAGCCAAGGCTCTTTGGCAAATATCTCACTTTTCAGAACTGGTATATTTATCCATCTCTTATATACAGTCTGTGCTCTCCGCATATGGCTCATAGGACTGGTTGAAGTTATCCAGTGGATGTAACTTGTGGCAGTCATCTTGTTCAACCAATCACCTGTAATTAAAAAAAATGTGATTCCTAAAAACTTTCCGGGGACAATTCCCAAAATGTTCCTATGTAACAAACAATCTATTTCACTAACTCATTTGCAGCTTATTCTGAAGTCACTGCTTGACTCAGTGTCACTATTTACTCAGATGTGATATGGAGTCTTCCTACTAATGGGGACACTTAGAAATAGCGCTATCTCCGTTTGGTTATCTAAGTTACGCAAAGGATTTTGTTGCCACTGTGTTCTGTGGAGGAAAGTTTGCATATCGGCACATATCAGGTAGCAAATATGCATATACAGTAGATCTGTGTTTGGCACACTAGATAGTTCTAGCTCTAGCTCTTGTCTCAGAGACATATTTTTAACCAACTTTGCAGCATTTCAGCAGCATCACGTCCCTCTGTGTCATTGTTTTGTGCATCTCTGTGTGTACTCACATTTTGGCCCAGGCAGGAGGTGCGAGCTCGATATCACGTCACCACCCGCAGGGTTACTGCTGACTCTGGTTGCAGATGATGTACCAAAAATCACAAAGGAAGAGTGCGTGCTTTTAGGATATTTTGGCTTCACTTTGTTTGGTGTGAACAAGCAGTAAAATGCTGTCTATCTCACTATTGAACATAGCTATAATGCTAATGCAAACATTTCACAGGCTCTTATTTTGACAGTAGCTCCTTAATAAATAAGTTTTGTTTCTTTTTGTTGAATCAAGAAGCGCTGCACCTTGGGTTAAACAAATCTGCACCTTTGGCTGCTAATTATGACCCACGCAGAGCTTTTGCAATGCACCACATGCACACTAATCACATACATCACTGTTTCTTGCAGACTGGTTGTAACTTTAAAGATGTAATTCCTGTCGACTTTAGAGCTATTAAAATGAGATTGGTGAATACAGAGCAACAGAACAGCATCTTTAAGAAAAAAAAGACACAAGTTAAACACAAGCGCAAAACTTTAAGCCTGAGTGTTTATCCAAAAATGTAATTACGTTTTGTTTATAAGAGTGCTGGTGATACCTTGGAGTGATCAGACTAGAGATTATCGTCATGCATAATTCAGTAGCCGGGCTGATTAGGTCTGTACCCAGGGGCCTGTGTGAGCATTGTAAAACTCTCTTGCACACAAAAAGAAATGGCTACTGTGCATTTCCCAGATCCCACACAGTGTGACGGCTTATTTTGGCTGCAGCTCGTTGCAGACATTGACGTATTCCAAATTCTGTTTTGATGTATGATCATTTAATCGCTTCTAAACATGAAGGGTAAACAAGTTACAGCTTTGGTGTTTCTAAAGTTACTGTCCCTTTAGGCTCAGGTTGTCTGCACCAATAATAATTTGTTCAATTTTTGCACTTAATTCTCATGAAATAACTCGTTTAGGTTCTGAATGCATGAATAATACTGGCCCAGCTTCCCCAAAACCACATGCCAGGAGGAGACCACGCCAAAGACCAGTCCATTAATCACTTTAATATGTGAATAACTAATTTAATTTGAATTAATGGCCAACTTTGGTGCAATAGGGACAAGTGCCTTGTAGAAACTGATCACTTTGGCTAAAATACAAAAAAATATATGAAGGTCATACAGGACTTTTTAAATTGGTCCATCCAATTTGTTAAGTCATTGATAAATTAAAGTGGGTTATGATTCTTAACTTTAGTGTTAATCAACTCTTCTATCATATGGTAGCTGTCAATGTTTTAACGCTAAACACGGTTCACAGCCGAGCTTTGCGGTGATTTATGGGGCTCTAAAACAGAAGTGAGGGTTTTATCATTAAACTCTCACTCCACCCAAAATCTCTGTTTTAGAGCGAGACAATAAAGGAGCTTGTAAAACGTCTGCAGTTTGCGCCTCTGACATGTTCAGCATGGTTTCACAGCAGTTACAGTGGACTGCAATGGTGATGGTTCACTAACCCCGCACCTTACAGAGCAGAAATGAGGTCTGGAGCAGAACACAAATGACTCGCTGATGGTCGAGAAGAAGAATTGTCTTAACCCTTCTCACCCTTGAGACCACTGTACCCCAAACCAGCTGTAACTGTAATTAAATTGGAACTATTGTGCTTTTCCTTTTTCTCTCTCTCATATATATTCTGTCACAATGGTGGATGCTCATATCAAACATGGTCACAATTTCATTTATGTTCAACAGCCCAGACTGTTTGAACCTTCCACTGACTCAGTCTTGGTAGGCTGCTGTTCACACGCTAATTTACATTTTTGATTAGGAAAAATTATAAATGTTAAAACGAAAGTAGTAAAAAAAACTATCAGTACTTTTAAAGGAGAAGAAGATTTGTGAACTCTGCTTCAGCTTAGGCAGAGTGCACGAGCAGCAGAGTAACAAGCAGCAGCTCAGGTGAATGATGTTTTTTGCACACGTGCAACATGGCTCTTGTGGTTTATTTCCACACATAGTAAGAAGAAGTAAGAAATACCATCTGTTACTTGTAACTTTCTATATAAGTGATAATTTTATATGTAAATATAGGCAAAATTTTTAACCTGCAGTTATAGTTGTTTTGTCAGATGACATCATGGTTATGGAATGAAGCTATTTAATATTTAATGCACTTAATTGGATGACAGAAACTTTTGGCAAATATTCCCTGTTGATTGCTATGGAAGCTCTATATAGGGAACGTACTATATTTCCATAAAGATACAATCCTATATAGAAGTATAATAAAAAAAAAATGCTTCCGTTTGAGATGATGAAACGAGTTAGTTTTAGGGACTCACTTCCTTTTCTGTCTTACATATTTTTGTACATATTGTTCTACATGTTAAGCTGTTCTAGCAGTGAAGGTCTTTTCAAAATTTGAAGTCGTGACCTTAGATTAGCATCAAAAATGCCAACATCAATCTTCCAAACAGGCCATTATAAAAAACTCAAACATGAGAATCCTTAAGTACCTACTGAATGACCTTTAAATTTGACCTATTGACCGTTTCCAGCCTCTTCAAGCCTTTTCCCCCCTGCTTTAATGCCAAGATGCATCATCGCTCCCTGTTTTCTCAAACTCAGATCACAAAACACAGCCCACCTTCCAAATGCACTTTGAGAAATGACTAATGATAACTAATATTAGTAATAATTGTTATTCATCATGTCTGTTTGATGCACGAAAAGCAGGTCAGGGAGACCATTGACTCATGCGGCAATAAAATGCTTATTGAAATGGCAGCAAAAATGTATTTACATGATGCACTGTGTCAGTTCTTGGAGGCACGTTGTTGGATGGGTTATTGGTTGGTCATGTGCATATGGCATGTTTTTATATGTGCGTCTGAGTGTGTGTGTGTGTGTGTGTGTGTGAGCGTGTGGGAGGATGGTAACTTGTTCGTCTCAGACCGTCTGTGCACAACAGCTGACAGACGAGCACACCCGTTCTGAACAGAAGGCTCCACCCGAGTCCTCGGACATTTGCAGCAACACACACACACATGCCATGCCTTAGTGTGGTATTCAGTTCATGCCGGGTCTCTCGGGTGTGTCTGTGGCGACAGAGGGAAACATGATAGCGTGCTTCTGTGTGTGTGTATGTGTGTGTGTGTACAGTAACATGTACAGATCACATATGCCAAAGGGGCCAAAAGGTCTGGGTATTGTT